TTTGCGTGACATTTGCCACAACAAAATATCTTATTTCATCGAATGTAGCGCGCGTCGATGTGAAGGACAAGGCCCCGCAAGGCAACTCTCACCCTCGGAAATGAACGCTTGTAGACCGTTGTGTAGACCGTGGCTGTTTCTTCGCAATTTTCTGACTTGTCAGGGGGAGGTTTGCCCCCAAATTCACCCAAAAGGTGTATAATAATACCCCTCAAAGATAAAATTAACCTTTGTTTGAATTCCATGAAGAAAACGGCAAAATATGACGAAAATCCCACGGTCTACACTCAAAAGGAGAATAAGATCTAGAGTACTTCAAATTCAATTCTCAGAAAGTGTAGACCGTTGACACTTTCCTGAATTTCTTCAGTTTTACAACTTGTATCGATCTGAAAACCTACAATATTTTTATACTAGCCATGCACACCTACTGACGAGGTTTCGTCTACTTTCTTTGAAAAATACGATTTTTATGAACATTTTAAATGTGTAGACCGTGGCTGTAGACCGTTGGTAACCATTGGCAATAGGCATTTTCATACTACATCACGTGCCCATTAGGAAAGGAGCGTTCTTTCAATTCCTAGCATACTTAAACAATGGAAAACGAACAATTATAATTGGCGCAAACCATTTTCCAATTACTGGGACAAGGGAAGATAGAAAATAATAGGGAATGGGGTGTCTATGAGCGCTACCATGTTGCCACATGTGAATGCGAAAGAGCATAGTCTAAGCAAATTTATTAAATTCGTAGATGGTTTTGAGAGGGTTATGGTGGATAAAATTGAGCCATTTGAACAGTTTCTCACCAGCATGTTGTTCGCAATTATTTATATCATGCATGGTTTGTAGACATTCTCATGAATTTTTTTGTTTTTTCATCAACAATTAAACCATAAATAAGGGGACTTTTCAGCAAAAAAACACTTTTTCAAAAGCACTGAACTGTACTGTTTTTCCTTTGAAGATTGATAGTTTTCTTAAACCGATGATCGAATTCTGCACAAAATAACTGTATTCAATAATGATTTAAATGATATTGACGGAAAAAATCAGTAGAATGTTTTTGTAACAAATAACAATTCTCGGATATCTACTATATCAATCGTTCAGAGTCCCAACCCCCTCCCCCCCCCTTTTAACTGGGTAAAGAGTGAAAATTTCGAATTTTCATTAGTAGCAGTGAGATCAGCACCATCGAAAACCCTAGGGTAGCACAATGTTTTGATATCGCAGATTGCTGTTTTCAAGATAATTTTCAGACAATGCCTGCCAAAAGTCTTGGAACACTGACATCAATTTCCAAGGTCAAAACCAATCATCCCCCTCTCCCCCACGGAACAATGTTGGTTTACCATCAAACGGATTAGGATTTTAGGAAGCACTTTCTTTTGCGCTTCATTTATGATATTTCTCTAAATCATCAACATTGTTTGAGGGGGAAGGGGGCGGAAGTAGCAAATTTTTTTCATGAAAGGAACGAAAGATATCAAATGCAGCGTAAATTGGTGGGTGTTCCAAGTACTTTTGGCAGGCATTGTAGGCAGGATGTGATGATCCCTAGGGGTCTAAACCCCTCTTGTCTATGTCAAAAAAAGGCAATATCAACTTCTTGCTTTTGCTTGCTACATTTATGAGAGTCAACCAGAACACCCTGAAAACTCTACAGATTAAAACTCTACGTTTAGTCATTCTATAAATTGCAAAATGTGTGAAATGAATGGAACTCTGCACCAAGAGGGAATATGCGCTTAGTCTAATATTTGCTGCCGGTCTAAAACTATCTTTGAATATACATTCGGTAACTTTATAATTCAAACCGTACTCAAACAGACTGTCGATGATTGGATCGGTTTGATAATACATTTGTGATGTCATAATGTATCAACTACAAGAGGCTTACATGAATTTGTTCCTTCTAGCTATTATTTCAAACAAGATCTTATTAGTCCAAATTCAATGTGCCTCGATACATCAAGGCTTTACAAATACTTTTGTACTTTACTATGAGATTTGACATGTTCCTGTGACATACACCTCCGAAGCACGTTGATTGGCGACAATTTCGGAGGTCAAAATTCAGTGGGACTTTTAGACGATAGACGATAGAATTTTAGACGTTAAACCATCCTTGTTCCAGGGGAAGGGGTTTATTTCAAATCTTTGCGAACGGATGTTGTAAATTACCCATAAAGTGGCTTGATTTATATGTGTGCCAAGGCATGGATGTCGCAAGCCTATGAAAGTTGGAGATGCACTTGTAGGAAGGCGTAACATTTTGCAGGAAAAGGGGCACAGTTTCAAAGAGAAGAGTTTGGGGGTGCACGTGCCACTTGTGTATCTCCGGTTCTGACATCCCTTTTTAAAGGACTTTTAGCAGATCTGTTACCTGAAGAATTACTCGTAGGCGAGGTGTGTGCTGATCTCCGCCATCTTTCTTTTCCCAATCTTTGTGCTGCTTTGTGGATCTTTAGTTTCAACGTTGCCACTGCATCCTCTAGGTAGTGACGCACAGCCTCGTTTTCAGCATTCAGTTCGGCATGTGCTATAGAGAGCGGAATAAATTGAGAAATATAATAAATGTATGTAAAAGCAACCAGAGGGAGCGGAGAGTGCTTTTGTTGCTATGCATTAATAGGAATTTGTTCAAGGCCACGTCTTGTGTAATGTAAGAAAAATAAAACAGAATACAAAAAATTTAAACCACGGTTCTAGTTGTAACATCAGATTGATCTCAATAGCAAGAGATCAGATAGGTGCTCATCTCGAGAAGAACGAAGTAGCTTGATAGGGAACAAAACAAATCGTAGCGCGTCTGCTTGTATAGAAGTATAAGATAGAATGTTCCAACGGTTTTCTTCCTTTAATCTATCTCTATGCAAAAGTAGGCAAATTAACTCACGAGCAGCGCCTTAAAACGATGGACGTCCCAACTCGATGTTAAAGTAAGTAAAAAGCCGATTCACATAAAACTGGAGCTAAGGTGATTCAGATAAAAGTACATATTTTTGCTGGTCAAGGTTTTTGCTGTGTTTTTATAACACTCTACTTTAGAACGTCTTCTTTTCTGTGACTTTTTTGTTGTGTTTTTTCCCTATTCTTAATATAGAATCGTTATCAGCCTACGCGTAGACCCAATATTCCAAGGGCGTCGTAGATTTTTGGGTCTACCCGTACAACTTGAATGCAATACACATACGGACTTTGAGAAAAGCGGATGGTAGGGGTAGCTATGTCAAGGGAGATTGGCGATGCATTCTAATATATAAACACTAAAACAAGGCAAATAAAACGTCAAAACAACCTTTCGTTTCAATCAACCAACAACAAAACAATCGAACTATTTTCTGGACTTTGACAGCTCTCATTTCAATATATATTTAGGATATGGAACGATTCACATTTGTTGTTAACTGCTGAGAAATGCCTTCTTTTCGCCGCGCGGAGCTCTTTCGGGGTGATCATTAAATTGAAACTTACGAAATTTGAAAAATCTTGTGATCAAGTTGCAGTTATGTACCTATGTATTTTAATCAGATAAGTGTTCCTTATATTCTAAGAAAAAGGGCCCCAAAACAATCGTTTAAACATTCACTGGCAAAGACCTCACGGGGTGCATAAATTTGAGTTAATAGCAATTTGATTTCACTCCCTGCCGCCCCTGAAAATAACACGTGTACGCGTTAAACTTTGGAAATCAAAGGATCTGCTTTAAGTTGGAAAGAAGGGGGGGGGGGGATTATTTCATAAATCTGAAAGATTCAACTTTAGTTGCAGCTCTTATATCAATACTCAAGTTAAAGGTACAGTTACAAAGCTTCAAAACAGGAACGAAGTCAAGACTTTCCACGAGATTTGTAAAAACAAGGTTTCAAAATACGTCTCCTTCTTTCTCTTTTCTTGGATGAAATTGTATAGAATAGAATAGAATAGAATAGAATAGAATAGAATAGAATAGAATAGAATAGAATAGAATAGAATAAAATAGAATGATATAATATAAATATAGAATAATAGAATATAAAGTAAAGAAAAGAAAAATGCTTGTTTTTATCTGCAGTACACCTTTCGACTAACTTGAATGGCGATGCAAACTTGAAAAACAAAACGGGAGAAAAAGAGCAGTCAGCCTTTTTAAAATAATCCTACCAAAGATGATTAAATTTGCGAAGTAAATTTTTCTCCATCCCCTACAAAATAAACTTAACTTCCCCCGTTATTTTAATGATATTTTTAGGCCGAAAACTAAGTAATGAATTCAGATTCATTTAACTTGATTAATTAAATAGGATGAATACGCTTACCGAAAGTCAAAGAGACGAAAACTGCTAACAAAGTGACAATATTGAGCTTCTAGAAGAAACGGATAAAACTGTTAAGACTATATATACACACAACTATAAAGAGAAATTGTACTATTTAGGTCTCTTCGAATCAGCTAGGCATTTTATACGAAATACATAAAATAAAATAAAAAGAAAGAGATAGCAGTACTGGTTTGATAGTCCACGTGCTTTCCAATCTCTTGATTTCTCCCGCCAAAGAACCGAACATGAAGATGAAAATCCAAAAAACAATATTTGTAAGAAAATATACCTAGATAATAAAAAGAATTATTTCTATGTCAAAAGCACTGTCCATCTGCAACGAAATCTCTACACAAGAAACAGTTAAAAAGTTTAGGTTTTTAGGCCTATACAATCTAAGTCATGTCCCTGAATTACATACTCAAACAGTAGCTGCATTATTCTAAAGCAAGGCAGTGCTTCCTCTTTCTAGTAATGCGTTGAAGTTTATGTTATTAAAGTTACGAAGACTGTAACATACCAGCATATTTGGATGACCACAACACAGGATCAGCTTATACGCACAAACCACTCCAGTTTCACGCGTGCTTCAACCCTGTACTTGCCAGTGACAAACCAAACTGAACAAGTTTCCAAATTTTTAGGACCATGAACAATTATATGCAAAGAGAATGATTCGATCTGCATGCGTGACAGAAAATTCACTGGGATTTCTTACGAATAGCTGATGTACCAAAGAAACAAAGGTCTTATTCCCAAGCACGCTGTATAATCATGGTGCAAACACATGCAAAAACGCAAACTTGTCCCAAAGCGTTAAAGCATTGTTTTGGGTATTAGAAGGTTGCCTGGGGATTTGAGATGATGAAATCAGCAACATTTGGGGCACGTCTAATTTCTCAAGGGAGAACACACTTTCTACAGTAGCACAGCCCGAATTGCATTTGGGTAATATGAGGAAAAACAGAGTAAACAAAAAACGTTTTAGTAAAACCAGTTTCAAATAATTTCCTCTTGACTTGCAACGGTTTAGGAAAATATTAATTTATGTACACCCATTTTCCTCTAACTAATATTGTCTTGATGCAGTTCTAAACTAATTTTTACATAATACGAAACCGTTCTTTACACTTTTTTCAAATCGTCATTAAAACACATTCAAAAGCATCCACTTTTTCCCTCCAATATCAACTGATCACCGTCATTTCTCTCCAATTTTACAATATTCTCATATCTATCAGTTCCTTTAATAACTCATCCAAGTGTCTGACATTCTTTCAACAGCCATTTAACAGCATTCCCATGGTTTTGTTCCCGTAACTTCGCTCCAACCTTTTCGACACAGAGGGAATGATACTCATTTATCCAGTTGATCTGAACGAAAAAAGTCATTTTTAATCAACAATTTTACAAACTGACAAAAAATCAACAATTGCTGGATTAAATATACAATTTTTATGTCATTTTTATTCTCATCAAAATAAAAGTTGATACAATTCACAGCTTCTCTATGTCAAAAGCCTAAGTCCAAATATTACTAGGGGCCAATTATTTTCTTATCCTTGCCACAACATCTTTGTCATGATGCATTTACAAAATCACAGCATCACACCACCACAGCGTCCATTGCAATGTGCACTGGATCTGATATGAGGGAGGACTCAGTGGTGTAGTGCTATCAAAATAATAAGGGGGGATTTTGCACGAAATGTTGCAAAAAACAATAGCAAAAGTAGGAATTTGCCAAATTTAGGCATTAACAAGGGGGCTCAGCCTCTATGAGCCCCCCTTGCTCTACACCCCTGGGAGGACTTCCTATAATAGTGGAGCCACCACAGCCACCACAAGTGGATAGGGCTGAAGGGAGATAGATAGCATAACAATAATTTTTCTTGTCCACGTTAGGTCTATGCTCTACATATCCATGTATATATGTTCTACATATCAATCGCACATCAAACAAATCTCTTCAGCGGTAAACATCCAAAAACACCAGGTAAGTGCAACTCTTAATATATTTCCCTTCTGAAAGAACTGTAAATGAATGACGTAACCAGGGCAGGCCTCGAACCCGCAATCAGTGTACCACTGTTCGTCATTGCTCTACCAACTGAGCTTCTGGTCTCGTGTTTAAATCAAATCTCCAAGCGGGGCCACTTAGACTTACTCCATGAGCATCTGTTTCGCTACTGCCTCATTTGACGGACGCTACAACAGAGTCTCATAGGGCCACTCACACACACACACCCCTTATTTACCAACTGCACTGAAGAGCCACCTCAGTAAATACCGCAATGCATATCGGACTTGATATGGAGAAGGACTTTCCACACCAGAAGGGGGAAGGCAGTCCATTCAGCAAAACTGGATAGCGTTGAGCGTTCAAAAGAAATCAGGATCGTTAACAAGATACTTTTCTTTTCCACTTCAGGCCTATGTTCTACATATCACGGGTCATATTAAATCCTCATAATGTTGTCACCCTTCTTTTCGGTAGCTCCTTACTATGGATCTAGCTTCATACTTAAAAGTCTTTAGCAAGGGATCCCAAAAGCTCAAAAACATGGATGGTAATCATTTACTGGGCTTCAACTTAAGATCTTAATACTGAGTTGATCTTACATAATCTATAAAAAGATCTTACATACTACTGGGTCTATTCTGTAAAAGCCGAAAGACAAAACTAAAACCATATTTCGAAGAAAAACTACTGGGAGCATACAGTAATATTGGATGAATAAACATATTTTCATTAAAAGTTTTAGGACAACTACCTCATCGCTTGTAAGTAATTCAGGTACAAGCATCTTTGTTTGAATAGGAACCTGGAACATTAAACAAACACAAGGGCTAAATTATGGAAGTAAAAAATTCTATCATAAAGCTAGTGTGAATTTCAAACAATTGATGCTCTTGCATTTATGGTAAGTTCTTGTTGCTCCTATGTTAAACTACACAATACCATTATTTTTTTCAGCAATTACACATTTCGGGTTATCTATATTCTAAAATCTGACATTGTTGTTGACTTGATTTATGCCTAATATCACGGGTCAAAAGAGGGCCTAGCTCCATGCACGATTGCAAAATAAGCATTAAAAAAATACTTAAACCAATTAATAATCTTTTTGTACTACTAAATTTCACTATAAAAGGGTATTAACGAATCTAATTAACAGTTTCTGATTTCTAGAGGAGAAGGATTTTATCGACCAAAACCAAAATTATTAAGGAAAACATTTTCCGCTAGACTGCGTCAATTTATATATAAGTCCTTAAAAACTGGTTGTAGAAAATTCCTTACCAAGGTTATATGTTCAAAGCCATAAAACCCAACACTCTTGAAATTATGCTACAAGAGAACAAATCAAACTGGATAAAATCAAACTGAAGGGAAAGAATCAAAAAATTCTTACACTCAATTTAAACTAAACATCATGCTTGTATTATTCTAAAATTGAAAATAGTCATGCAAAGGAAATTGCTAATTTGTAAAAGAATTTATTATATCTGTCAATGCTCTAACCTCAAGCTTAACTTCCTTGACCAACATGACATTTTCGATCCTTATTCCAAATTTTCCATCTTCATAATACCCAGGCTCTACAAAGGCAATCCTCTTAGAAGTCATCTATCAAAATCTGGATAATATATAATAAGATATGATTGATCGAATAAGCTAGATTCGGACAGCCAACTGGCAACGTTAAGTAAGTGTTATAGATTTTAGATCAAAGAAAGCTATTAGAGAAAATCAACAATGAAATTTCTCTGTCATTTTTTGCATCTTCAGTCTAAATTGTTTTTAGATGAAATAATTGCAAATTGAAATTTGAAAGAGTTTTATGAGAGGTTATAATTTTTTAGCATATACACTACTTTTCTAATTACTGTGCGTTTTACCTTTTTAATTATTGTGTGTGTTTTCTCTTTTCCACAAGGTAAAATGAAAACCAGTTATGCAAACTAAATTGTATCCCTATACAAAGTGAAATCTATAATATTAAACACTCAAAACAAATATTGCAGTCCACTGTGCATACCATCTGTAACAAACATGCCAGGTTTGAGCGGTTCGTCTTCTGAAACCCTCGGGCTGATACCTTGTGGCCCTGTCAAAGTAATGCAGTTATCAGAAATGGTCACAGGGCAACAGAAGCAAAAATGCAGTCACTGGTAAAACTGTTTTGCTGGTAGTTGAGTGATGGGAGTGACAATAAAAACTATAGTTTAGTTAATGCAAAGGAAAATGTCTACTATCGGATGTTTAATGTTTAATAGAAGGGGAGATTCATCAAGGGGGTAGTGTGATGTGAGAAGAAGCAAAAGGTTGCTCATTATAAAGAATACTCTAACAAGTTGAGAAATAAAAGATTTCATTACTACCTAAATCCGGTAATTCAAATCAGCTTTTAAGAACTGGCAGTCTTGGAAAAAGGGAGGAAATATTTGGATAAAAATTTAAAGTGATGAAAATGATTGCCATTCTTTAAGAATACGCTATGATGTCGAAGGCATCTAAAAAGGACAAAGAAGCTTAGAACATCTCACCTTCATGGACATTCAAAAATGCACCGACGCCATGGCCTGTTCCATGCAGATAGTTAAGACCGCAATCCCATAGAGGTTTCCTGGCTAGGATGTCCAAAACATGCCCTGATAAAGAAACGTACAAGGATATTGGATGGTATTTGTGTAACTACAGAATTACGAATTGCAGAAAGCGGAAAATACTAAGTAGAAAGTAGAAGACAGAAAAAGATAAAACAAAAATATTTGCATACCGTGAAAGCTCTATTAAGCCCCCGGGGGCGTATTTATTTTTTCATTCCTGGAGGGGGGCTTAAAAGAGAGGGGAGCTTATTGGAGAGAAGGGGCATATTGCAAATTTGAAGGAAAACATGTTTTAAAAATGCCGTTGGTCAATTTTTTGTTATAAAAATGCCATACAAATGTTCTAAAAAAACTTTTCTGGCAGCTTCGAAAGTTTAACCAATCAATTATAAGGTCCTCGTCTTCATCAGCATCACCAGGATAAATTGATAACCCTTGGAGATCTTCCAATAAAATTTCTACAGTTTTCTAAGTCGCACAAGAAAGTCTTTATATGGGCCGTACACGATCTTTTCATCATCACAGCCGTCAAGAGACCCACTAGAGGGGGAGGGGCTTAATAGAGAGGGGGGCTTATTTAAAGTTTTGGCTTGATAAGGGGGACGTAATAGAGAGGGGGACTGAATAGAGAGGGGACTTAATAGAGAGGGGGGCTCATTTTAAGTTTTGGCTTGATAAGGGGGGACGTAATAGAGAGAGGGGCTTAAAAGAGAGGGGGCTTAATAGAGAGGGGGCTTAATAGAGCTTTTACGGTATATGCAGGTGCCGTATCGGTATATGCAACTCATTCGTATAGTGGATGTCAAGTTCATTTTGGAATGACATTCAACTGTGTACTAGCTGAAACAATGATTTTATGATCTTTAATGCCTACAATCTTTCACAGAATCCACAAATAGTTATAATTCGGCTGAAGGCTGATAATGTAAAATATAAACATTAACGAGCTATCGTAGATCCATTAGTGTATTACAATTAAATAATTACCTAATTTCTTTCATAGTGACAAAATAGGGTTTGAAAGCGCGTTAAATAGAATTGATATTAGTCAATATTGAAATAAAAATGGGAGTATTAAGTAAAACTTTGTTGCTATCACTAATCGTGGGTACGGAGTACATATATTTTTCAACCTCTTGTTCCCTTTGGAAATTTTGCAGATGCCATCTGGATATTCCCCTTCAGAACTCTTGTGAAACATTCCTTCAACGAAAAATTAAAAAGCAAAATATTAACAACTAGATTGATGAACATCATGCTTGAAAAAGCGTAATCTGAAATCTGAAAATATCTGTTAAAATAAAAGTAAAGTCAAATAAAAAAAAAGTAAAAATCGAATAAAATGATGAAAAAGACAAAGACATCCAGCTTCAGATCAGGTTAACTAAGTTGTTGGGCAACAAAAAATCAGCAATCAAACATATTCAAGATAAAACCCAGCAAAATGGAAGGATAAGACCGCCAGATAGAAAAACTGGATTCCGTTCCTTTTTGAATGAGAAAATGATGACAATCCTGTATGTAAGAATTTAGATCCAGAGGTAAAGCAACCAGCTGTTGTAGGGATGTCTGTAAAGATAATATTCGAAAAACATACTACCATATTCGATGATTCGAAATGTTTGATTCTTTTTGTTATAAAGTGAACCTTTATCATTATTATTATTATGTATATGCTGAACCTTGCTCTGGTTGCCCTGTGCAACTTTCGTTTTGTTATGCTTTATTGCGTTATGTAATTGGAGAGAGTTATGTTTTGGATTGCAAGATAGCAACAAACAAAGTGTCCTCTTTATGAATTGGCCTACTGAATTAAGAGGATAGCTGACATTGGTCGAGCTCACCTTTTCATACTGCGAAGGAGTCCCGAAATGCACTGTCCTTGTGACGTCGGTCGTGCCATCGCTAAGGAAACACAAGAAACACTCAAAACATTGCTAAAAATCTGCTGCAGTGTATTACCATTAAATAAATAAAAGGTAAAAATTAATTAAAGCAAGGTATATTATAGCATACAATCTACTGTTAAAACGCCCGACAAGTCCAGCTTTTTCCCAAATAGCTCGTCCAGTATTCCCAATTTGAAAAGCCTTATACAAATTCCTTGAAAGGTCCCCGAGTAAGAGTCTTCTAAAGTTGAATTTTATCTTGAATAAATTTTTTGAGCAAAAAGAGCGACTTTGCCTCCAACTACATAATTTTGACGACCGCACGACTGATTAAAGCATAATAGCCACAAAAAGCGAACACGAGAGAACTTTGCTTAAGTGGCTTTCTCCAGTGTGCAGAGGACGGTGTGTTAGCAATTAGTCATTCGTTTTATATTACAACTAGTTTTATATTCTTTGTCATTTGTGACGCTTTCCTTGCTGTGTGCGGGGACGAAAGTATTTTCCTTACGGCTGGGCAACAAAGTCCATGCGCCACATTCAAACAACTCAGGTCTGCTTTTTTGACATTCAGAAAGAAACAATCTCAATCGCGTATCTTCTTTTTGTATATAAGGAGCAACTTGTAACAAGATATCTTCAAAAGATTCTTTGTCCAAGCAGTGGAATTGGCAAAAAGTCTCCGGGTCTTCCACATCCAATTCCCTTACCACATTCCTTCACAAATTCCTTTAGTTTTTCTTTGTAATGCTTGAAACGATGACAACAACGACGAAATGAGTAGAAGCATTTCTCCTTGATTTCCTTCTTCTTCACAGGAAGAACTATGGAGAACATTTGAATCCGCGATTTTCTCATCCAATAGCGACGAAGAGCATGCACTTTGTTGCCCAATCGTAAGGGAAATACTTTGGTTCCGGCACACAGCAAGCGTCACGAATGACAAAAAATATCGAACACATTATAAATTTTACTTATAGTCACGTATGACAAATTGCTAACGCATAGACCCAAGCAAAGTTCTCTCGTATGGGCCTAGTAAAGATCTAGAATGAAACTCAAATGATCAACACATCAACTAGTACAATAACGCAATGCAAGGCACATGAGATGATCACTCATTTCCACTGCTTTAGAGATTTACTTACAAATATTGGGCACCAGAATCGCAAAGGTACATTTCGTCTGGGCTTAGTGTTCTTGCTGTGGCAGCTTCAGGTCTGGGATGAAATAAATTCGAAAATGGAAAAAAATTAAAATACGCATGCTCATAAACGCAAGAGTTCTATCACAGCAAAGTAGTTCACCTTGTGTCAATCGAGCTTAAGTAAGACCAGGATGCAAGGATGAATACAACTACATATAAAAAAGGAAAAAAGACTTACCTTAGTTACATGCAACTGAAGTGTAAGTACAAGAACCACTATATTGTTCACAAAACTAGCAACCTCTCCCCTCTCCCAATAACTCTAAACGATGTCGCATTATTATCTTTATAACAGAGTTTCGAATGGAAAACCCTTTCCCATGGTGGCCCCGTAAATGAATGGTTACGAAGCTTCATTTACGATTGAGACATTCCATAGCTGATATGTATTTGACCAAACCATTATAAGGTATCTAAGTGCGTATTATATGCTCTACTTTTTATCCTCAATACAATATTCGCCACAGTCCTTATATATTAGTTTACAAAAAGCTGCGCTTGCCATGCCATGCATGAACGAAAGCTCAGTTTCTTCCCGCGCGCAAACACTGTTAAAACCGCGTGCAATGATTTGAAATGGAATGCGTAGCTCGGACATAAACACCTCTCGTTAATGCTCGTGTTGAAAACAGAAAACATAGGTAAAGCAGTAAACCCAGAAAATAAGACAACCTTAAATAACCCACCTTCAAAGATTATTGTGAATTTTAAACATTGCGCCTTTATCTTTTAACTACGTCAGACAAGGTACATTCGTAAAGACCCAATGGCCTAACTTCGTGGCTTTATCATACGATGTAAATGATATATGGTGAGGAAAAATTAATCGATTAAACAACCAAAATATAAGTACCTGTAATGAATAACTGCTCCGTTTGGCCCGCTTCCAGAAATGGTTGGGAAGCTTAGCCCGACAAAATGCTCTTGCTCTCTGAAAGACAAGCAGGTACATGATTTGACATCTTTATTTGAAGGTAGGTATCCTGTCGCTGTGTACGAAGAATACTGGTACTCTTTAGATACTGTTGTAGACAGTTATGAATACGGTGAAATAGGTAAATGTCTGAGTGTGGTTTGTTTTTGAATAAAATGACAAGTAATTTCGAAAAGAATAATAAATACTGCTCTAGTTACTGTTATTAAAGCATACAATATGATTACCGTAAAAGCTCTTTAAGCCCCCGGGGGCTTATTTATTCTTTTCAATCCAAGAGGAGGGACTTGAAAGAGAGGGGGGCTTATTAGAGAGTGGGCTTATGAAAAATCTGAAGTAAAAAATGTTTTAAAAATGCCCTTTTCTAATTTTTTTGTTATAAAAATTTCATACAAATGTTCTCAGAAAACCTCGCTAGCAGCCTCAAAAGTCTAATTAATCACTAATAAGGTCCTCATCTTCATCAGAATCACCAGGATCAATTGATAACCCTGGGACATATTCTAAACAAATTTCGACTGACTTCTTACATGGGCCGCATTTAATGCAAACGATCTTATTATCATCACACCTGTCAAGAGACCCATTAAATGCGCATGTTTCTCATGTTTTCAACAAAGGCTAAAGAGGGGGGCTTAATAGAGAGTGGGGGTTTATATTAAGCTTTTGCTTGATAAGGAATGGCTTAAAAGAGAGGGGGGCTTAATAGAGAGAGGGGGTTTAATAGAGCTTTTAAGTTATTAAATCAGTTCACATCGTGGTACTATGTCCAGTTCGAATTTCATGGATGTTTCAAGACTAAAAACAATTCAATTTAAAAATTGTTCATTTAATAGTGTTAAGTGCGTATCAAGTTTGATTCTTTATAATGACTTCAAACGCAAAAAGATTATAAAATCCTGAGCTACGTAGATTTTCGGACTTTAGGATTTTCGGACTGGGATTCCCATTAAGATGGCAAAATAGAGTTTGAGGTTGCAATACATACTTAGCTGGTGATGAAGTAATATGAGAAGCAAATAAAGCATGTAATCGCACGAGAGAAGGAGTTGATGAGACAAAAATTAAGATTAATGAAGCGAAAACAAATTACTCTTGTTATTACGTTATTGTTCTTGATGTCAATGTCTTCCAGTTCGAGCAGGGAAGCCTCGATAATTGGAAACTCTGTCTCAATATCAAAGTTTTCTTTCCCTTTCAAGAGATCTTCAATTTGCTCGGAGAATGCCGTGAGCCACAACGGTTTGCCATCTTTTTAACTTGCAGCTGAACTGAGGCTTCGAGCTTCGAATTTATGGCTCTTTGCGGCGTGTTGCAGTAGTTGCATTTTATAAACTTGGTGCCCATGTCATTGCTTTTATAAACTTGGTGCCCATGTCTTTCGTACATTTTTGGCAAAATTTGAACATTCGTAAGTTGTGTACCAGGTCGAAATCTTTTACTATAATTTCGCCCTCTTTTATCGAGAGGATGACCTGTTTGTCCACATCTTCAAATGTGTTTTCATATCTTGTAGAAAGATGGTTAGCGAGTGAATGTGACAGGTTTTGCCTTGGGCTATACAATCCTCCTTTACCTGAAAAGGATCATCAGAGACTTTGGTGTGAAAAGATTTTAGGAGATCTTTTGCCAAGTGACAGCATGACTGTTGCGTAAACAAGCTGGTTAGGCTTGATGAAAGCAACCTCTTTGATCGCAATATCAATGGCAGCATTTGTTGAAGAAGGTGCAACGATAAGGTGGTACATCTCTATATAATCGAAATTGATTCCCATTCTCTTTATTTTGTTTGCTGTTAAGTGCTGGTTGAAATTAATGTTGTTCTCCTCGTCAACCTTGATGTTCTTGAGTAAAACGCAGTTTATTGAATTCTGGAGGTCCATTAATGTCGAATGCTGTTGAGCGTTGTAGCCGATAATTTCCCGAATCTTGGAAAGGGTCACTTGAAGGGAGAAATTATAGTACTCGTACTTTCTTTTGGATATGTGATAATGCATGAATGTATCTCTTAGCTGAACCTAGTGGAAATAGAACTAAGATGTTAAACAGGCTATTACACGCGTATTGTTGCTATATATATATATTTAAAATTCGCGGACAAACTGAAGGCTCTCGGTGACATTTGAAATAACAGTGTTACATGTATAAAAATAACTAATAAAAAGGTTTAAACGTTGGTTCTAAAGGAACTGCATACGTATACTTTGTAATATACATTATATACTTGCAAAAATAAAAAAAATTTGGAAGAGGTTAAATAAATTTTTATAAAAGGAAACAGGAAACAAAAACTTACTTGAAACATCGGAAGACTTTCCTTCTGTCATTTAGACTGTTTTGTTAATTTGTTCTCGTAGATGCCGTGTGCTGAGATACTTCTTGAGCAGGGTTTGTTAATGATGGAAGTTGCCCTTGGCTTCATAGTTTTCTTGAGAAATGCGGCGTAGGAACGCGAACTTATAATCATAGTATTGATATGTTAGGATGATAAAAAACGATTTAGAGCTGATCAAAACCCCAATTTTAAGACTCACACGCTTTACAGTTTGTGGCAAGTTAATATCCACTACTTTGGGTGAAATCGGTAGTAGATCTCTAACGCAACTGAGCGCAAGTAAATGTGACACAGCATTTGAAAAACTCACTTTCTAAATTGCTCTAGTTTGTCTGCAGCCGTTACTTCAGTCAAGTAGCCCTTGTGTATCTAGAATATCACAAAGTCATTACAAGGTACTTTGAATGGTCAAAACTTCAAAGAGAATTAGATGAAAAGCTGTTGTTAATAGAGAGAGTTTATGTCTTCAGCTGATGTATCCAAGGCATCGATTGATTGTTCCTGAGAAGCTAGTAAAGAAAGGAAAATTTGCTACCGAGTTTCGTAAAGATACTAGTCTATTGTCTTATAAAAAGGAATCATACTCTGAAGCCTTTTACCGCATTTATTCGATAATAAACCGCCCTTGTTTACAAGCCGCTCTTGATTATAGGCCGCACCCACAAAACCATGATTATAGGCCGCTTGGTTTGGAATGACGGGCGCAAACTGAAAAAAATCTGATTATGTACCAAAAAATAGACATTAGAAGTTCAACAAAAAACAATATCGTCCAGCATGTGATCATCAATAGCGTCAAGAAGCATTCCCCATCTTATAAATTATTACCATCAGATTCAATGTAGCAGGAAAGATAGCACAAAATAATGTTAACTGCCCTCGTTTCTAAGCCGCCCACATTTCTAAGCCGCCCTCGTTTCTAAGCCACCCTCGTTTCTAAGCCGCCCACATTTCTAAGCCGCCCTCATTTCTAAGCCGCCCTCGTTTCTAAGCCGCGCTCGTTTCTAAGCCGTCCTCGTTTCTAAGCCGCCCACATTTCTAAGCCACCCTCGTTTCTAAGTCGTCCTTAATAAAAAACAGCAGCAAAAAGTGCCAAAAAATTTAGAAGCCGCGATTTATAATCGAAAAAATACGGTAGCTGAAAACTTCAACTTATCTAGGCTATATGAAATTTAGCAGTTCTTGGGTAGAGCTTCAAGGTAAAGAAATTACCAGGACAAATTCCAATGATTTTAATCTAGAAGATCGCCGTGGAATATATCCAATTGTGCATGGCCAAAAATAGATTACAAACTGACCGAGGTACGCCCTGTGAAGGGGTGAAATTAAGTAAAGCAAGCACCAAGGCTGTTTTTTTCTTAAAGATTTTCGAGTCATAATAAAAAAGTGCCTTGATCGCGAGATTTCAGGCAACAAGCTTTGAATTCCAGAATTATAGACATATCTTTAAGACGTCATTTTTATTAAACCAGAGGGCGGAAATCATACCTCATTTTCTAGCCAGGCAAAGTATCTACACAATGCAGCTGCATCCCTGATCTGCAACAAATAAAAACGAAATTTTACCATTTATTTACTATTAGCAGACAGAAACCATAGAATAAAAAAAAAATAAAGTTATATTCAGGTCAGATTTTTGATTCATTAAATGTCAACAAAATATCGCTTTTATTGGAAACAAATAAACCTTGTATTGTAAAACTAAATAATGAAAACCTACAGGCAAATGCAGGCAATCCGCATTTTCGTATTGTCTAACTGAGACATGAAGGTTTTCAAAATTAGGATGTTGGCACATAGGTGAAATTTCAAAATTAGGATGGGGCATCATTTTTCAAAGAAAAGTAATATGTTTTCATTTACTCGACTGAGTTGTTGAATTTATGCTCCAATTATGGGTCCACATTAAATATCAATCTCAAACTGAATTAAATTGAGGGGTATGCATTTCATATGGTATCTGAATATTTGGCGAGGGTTTTTGAAAAGTTGTCAAATTTTAGAGTTTTTTTCATATATCAAAGTGGAACACCCCCGTCCCCGGTATCACCAGGGTATAAACAACTATCCATATGCAAATCATCACGTGGTCCATCATGATTACAACAAAAACTCACTTACATGTGCTTGCCTCATTCCTTCGATTTCTACCTCATTCTTTACAGCCTTTGCTACACAAACTGGAGACGTTTCTGTGATGAGATTTTCCTGTTGAAAAATCAAAACTCATGTTTAATTTCATTAGTATTGAGAATGTCAGCTAGGAGTTCAATTGAAAACAAAACAAAAATAATTCAATTTTTGCATATTTCATTACATAGAAATAGTTTCTCTCAATTCACACAGTGGTAAGTAATTAGTGCTTAAATGTTTTCTCGCGGTGATAAAGTCATATTCCGCACCACCCATTTTCAAGCATCTCAATCAATTAAACTCCAGAGAAAGCCTTTCTCAAAATCATACAAAGGCTTAATATATATTTTTAGCAAACATTTGTAACTGCAACGCAATGTGACTACCAGATCTTTACTTACGTTTGAAAACTATAGATCTTTCGGCAATTGAAAACAACGTCAAAAAAATCGACAAGTTTGAAAATGTTTGAGGTTTTATCTAAGAAGCAAAAGACATAGCTAAGAATCAAATTACATACCTCTGGTACAAGGCTTGCCAACGCTGCACTGTTTTTTGAGCTGATCTGAACAAAAGAAAAAAAAAGTAGCCATTAAGTAAAATCATACAGGTTTTACAGTAAAAGACGTCGAGAAAAGATATTCACAAGAGATTTGATAAAGTAGTTCAATACTAAATCGGTTACTTGATTCATAGCTGCCGCACATTCTAATTAGAATAAATCCCTAAAGTGCTGGAAGAGAATTAAATGTAGAGCTTAGGGAATTAAAGAATGAATCCAGTCGATTTAAGTGCTCTATTGAAAGGTCGTTTAGAAATGCAGTGTTACTTAAACACGGAGTAAATGACAGTCAGATGGAAGGAGGTGTCCATCAACCACGTATTATCTTTGGTAATAAAGAATAAATTCTAGGACCAGATTGCTCGTCAGTGTTTTGGAGTTGTGTTACGAAAGGTGTCCATTATTTAAGATTTCTCTGTAGAGGCTATTTCGTAAACATAGAAAAAGCTATGAACAGATGCCCTTACATATGAAATGCACAAAAGATCACATAAAAAAGGAGCCAATTTCATAAAATGTTCGCGTCACGCTGCCGATGCATTCTTCTGCCACAATATTTGTCAACATACACAAGCTCTTTCAGTTCTAAGACTGTTCTGTAATTTGGAGCACAATGTTAAGAATAAGCAGATTGCTGTATTCATAAATTGATAACGAGGACATGATCATTCGGCATTAGACGAACATTGAAGCTGAAATCGCAGGATAAACAAATTAAGGAATGAATTATTGAAGAGGTTTCTTGGACATACCCAAATTCTTTTTCCTTTACCAGCGAGCTCTTTGACTTCTTTGTCAATGTTTTCATAAGGAAAAATTTTTAACACACTCTCTTCTTTTTTATCAATACAAAGATGTTCTTTTATTCCATTGTTTAAACGAGCATCGTCAATGAACAAGCTGAGAATTGAATATTTCTGTGAATAACATTTACTCTGAAATGTGCTTTTGTCGACTTTTAAACCCATCTAAACCCACAAATAATGTATTAGAGCTTGTTTCCCGTACATAGGAATTAACGTAAGTCTTTAATCAATGATAAACAACGCGTTTCGTTATAATATGTTAACAAAATATCAGCGTGATAACAGAGCATGAAAACTGAAAGCACACTGTTGATTATATTAACAATTCGTTCAAATCTATGACCTCGTTTAATGATTACAAAAAATTTTCTTACTAGCAATGATAAATCGAATACAACGCAAAAACCTTCAGGTTACATTCGAAGGAACATATCTGACACTTTATTTGATGTCATTTATCAATCTTTACACAGTGCTTGGTCCAGACTTTTCTTGAACTACTGAGAATATTTCTGGATCTATTAAGCTATAGGTGAGACGATATAATCTTTGCTTCTTGAGACGAACTTTATAACCCTTTCCATTTTTAATAAGAAGAATTAACAGAATCAACTGGTCACTTCTTACAAATGTGAATATTTCGATCAGAAGTTTTACTATACCAGCTCCCTTGGAAAAAACATTGACATTACCACTAAAACCCTTTAGCCAATCATTGACAATTTTAAAATCATTTCTAAGAAAACAAACACAAGAAACCAACCTGACATCATCAGTGGTGACAATTGCATAGGAAAAGAAGACAGGATTAAAATCGATGTCAGAGCCTCTTAGATTGAACAACCCTATAATGCAAATAAAAGGAACACAAACAACATCAGATACCTCGAAAATATATTCATCCACAGGGACGTTTCTATGCATGCATATATTGAATAATCTCATTTTGAAAATGGCAAGAAAACACGGAAGCATAGCAAACTAGCAAACAGTATGCTTTGCTTCCGCAATTTCGTGTCATCTTAAATCTTTGCAGTACCGAAAAAATAATTTGAATAATGTCATTGCTAAAACTGATCAGGTACCATCGGAAAAATTACTCCTGAACAACGCTTAATGCTTTTATTTAAGCAGGGAATCGAAGAAAACAACTGTTAACAAATCTGTTGCATAACGCTGGATGCCGTAACAGAGAGAAAAAAAACTATACAGCTTTGGTGAAGTTGCTTCACTTAGTTTCATACCTTGTGCGATCATCAGGCAATTTATTTAGAATTTTTAGAAAAATTTCTACACAAATGTATAGATTAGTAAGTATTTTCTTTATTAAAGCTAAAGATCGACGAGGTCCACTTTAAGTATGCCTTATTTTATTTACAAAACTTGTAGCAACCTTTACAAGGTCTGGTCCAGTACAATATGTGATTCTAATTTTTTCAGCTCACACGAAATGAAAAGAATGATGGAAATTAAAAATATGACAGAAGTTATGCTCACAGGCAACTTCATCCAAAGCAGCAACGATAACTCCATAAGCATCTTTCTCTTTAAGTCTTCCTCTGATTTCACTAACTTTGGCTTTCCATGATTTACCTGAGGAATGAAATGTTTTGTTTTCTTCATAAATTTTTTAATTTCACAAAACATTCACAAGTTTACAAGACGATACAGCCGGGAGCATGAATGAAGTTGCTTGTAGATTACACATAAACACGGCACTGCTCATTTTTTTCAAAGATTTTTCAGTGACAAAAAGGCAAAAAATTACCAAACTTTTGAAAGGATTTTCACTGGTGTTGTTAAAAGAAAAAGAATTGAATATTCCAAGTAACAGATTACTGGAGCAGAAACATTTCCCTTGCTTAGCGAATTTTCTATCTTCAATTTTTTGGGCAACGATCGAAGAACCAAAGCATTTTGATGTGAGAATATGTGAATGTGAGAATTACAATGAATAAATGAAAAATGAAATAGAAAGATCGTGACAACTGATGGTTTGGGGACTCGACCCCTATCATAGGTAAAGGTGGTTGGTCACATAAAGTGAAGGAGGTAATCTAAACTTCCATATGACAGCCCTTGTATGCAATCATGGATATCGGAATAGTAATACTAAACAACGTAATAAATGAAAAGTAAGAGAAACATTTCGTTCTTTAAGTGCACAACCCAGAAAAGTCGTGGCACATAGGTACCACGATCAAAAGACACCTTTCATGCAGTTTTTAGGAAGGTTTTCAAAGATTAGCTCTGGCTAGAGGGAGGATTTAATCCTCTAGATTTTCTAACATTTTTAAATCTGAAAAAGCGTAGTGCAACTTAAATATGGCGATTTTTCTACTCGAAACGAAGGAAAAAGCAAGGCAACTATGGTGTACTTGTGATAAAAATCTCTTTATCCTTACCTGAAAATTCTTGGCCTAGAGTAATCAGATTTGAGCATGGAGTTGCAGGGCGTCCATGATCTGCCCAAACGAGATCCACTAGATTTCTGTCCACACGAACCAGAGTCCTACCACTACCTTGCAATTTCTTCAATTAAAAATCATACGATTATATAGAATCAATTATACAAAGCTATAAACATGATGCCTTGAAATATTTTTAAAAGATAATAATTAAATGAAATTAAAAAAAGATTTTAAATGAAATCTAGAAAGATAATAAGCATTGCCATAACAAAAAATGTATTTCTTTTGAGTCTCTTTACTTCTATATTTCTAAGAGTTCCAAGTAAACCGAGTAAATAAACAAGCAAATGATGTGAGTAAATTCTAAATTCTGTTACAAGTTCTAGCTGTAGCTTCAATTCAAAACAAACCTTGATCACATATAACTAGGAATTTAAGTAAATTCTACAAGAAAAAAAAGCGAATTTAAATAAATTAATGAATAAATGATTTCATTGTCCTCATAATAAGTATTTTCTAATGAGACACTTTGATTGATTGCAAAAAATTGTACAGAAGACAGGATGTCAAAAAACTCGCTCTTCATTTTATTTAATATTATTTAATTTACTATACAACGTAAAGAAATTTCATTAGATTTGTTCTTTGATCTCATCTTTATAAAGTTGAAGCGTATCTTAAACCCAGCAGAATTTTGATTCAAATAGCTAACTGAAAAATTAGTAACTTAATAACTTTTTTAAAAATAGAAATCTGAAAACCTACTTTGCTTATTCTTCGCCATGCATCTAAAAATGTAACAAACAAAATAGTTAGATACCCCTGAACCTGATGTGTTTCATAGAAGTACAGTCTCAATCAAAAATAAGAAAAGTAATTGAATATGATGTTACCAAAAAGTTAGGTTTAATATCAAAATGATGGACCATAGCAGAGATACTAGCCACAGCAAATTACCAAGAAAAAGGCAAAGACAATAGGAAAATAAAGAAAATTGTTAAATTTTAAAAGGGTAAGGTGACAACTTTTCTGTGCACCATCATAGATCCATGGTCCAACACTCAAGGGACATGGTAACAGAGTATATAAATTTCACAGGAAGCAAACAATTTCTTAGTTAACAAATCAAACATCTTACCAAGTGAGATAAGGTATGGATCAACACCAACTTTTGCCCCAACTGGGAGCTCCTGTGAAAAAGATATAAAGATTAGAAAACAACGAAAGCTACATAAATAAAGGGAAAAAGCTACAACAACCACCGTACAGATATCTTAACTACATACAAGCAAACAAATGTTTTAGAATGCTTCAAGTCATAGGTAGAATATTAAATCAATTAATAAATTAATCAATGAATGAATTAACTAATCAATGAATGAGCTAAGTCATATATGCTGAGTCAATCAAGTGCTTTGTTCTCTAAATCTTCCAAATTTGAAGCAGGAAATAACTCTAACAAGGCAAAGAAAAGTGGAAATATAAACATCATCAACAATGACAAATCTTGTAATTAATTAGCAATTGCTGATAAGCTTTTAACTAGTAAAAAACAAGGCATGAATCTAATGTACCGTTTTCTGCTCATGTCACCTTTTATCCTAATCTAGATATAAATTTCTGGGTAGTATGGTGCTATTATCAAAAATGTTTTATACTCAAACAATTCACTTTTCCAGCTACATTACTTTTTCAGCATTTGAAATCACATGGACTAGGATATTACTAATGTGCTGGGACAGAAATAAACTATACAAGCACTTGCCTTGCTTAGCCAGTCTTCTTGTGTTGGTGTCTCTGGTAAGCCTAAGAATAAAAATTTTATGAGGACATCTGGCTGATTAATCTGCAATCATGAAACAGACAATTAATATATCTTGCTTATTCCTTTTCTTTAATGGTATCCTACAAATAGTTAATTTAATGTATCAACAATGACAATCAGGTATATTTTTAATAATGAATTAGTAAAAAAAGATTTTGAATCTTTAAAAAAGTAAACGGCTAGTCCCACGCCTTGCAAGGAAAGATGCTCAGGCTGGATAAAGCACCTCCACCTGCACCTAGAAAGTTCCAGGAGCTCAATTGATCGAGCACCTAGTGTGTTTATGATTTCTAAACGTTAAATGCAAAAAACCAAAGTTTTGTTTTTGAGGATATTTTATGATACTGAATCGAGCCCCTAGAGAGTTGAAGATGCTCAGTTTGTCAAGTGCCAGCTCCTCAAAAGACCTGGTAAGGCCCATATTCAATTCTGAATGTTGGGGAATGGGCTATTAGGGGCGCATTGTCCTGAGCAATGGCATTGTGTGATAGGATGGTCCTTTCAAGGCCACTTTTAATTTCCCTTTTTACTTCAACTAGGTACAAATTATTAGCCGAGTGAACTGTGGGCCAAGAGAAGCCATGCCCTTTTGTGTTGGAAACGCCCAAATTTTTCTGAATAAAATCGGTATAACTGATTTTGAGTAGGGGGTTCCAAAAAATTCTAAGGAAATGACTCGAAAAGAGAAGATTAAATTTCCCGCATTTGACGCAGACAGAATTTGACGCAGGGCCCCCCCCCCCCCACCTTCTGAACGCAACAGCCTTACTACCTCACTACAGAGCAGACACTCTAATGTTGATTGATTTAGCTAGAAGTTCCTTAGCAGGGGTGAGGCAGTGATTGTCTAATTTCATTTCATTGTTTGCAGCAAACAATTGCATAGGTCCACGACAAACAATTGCACCTCTAGGTCAACTCTGATTTCTATTGGTTGGCTGTACTGCTGCAGAGGTGAGCTCAGCTTCTGATTTGATAAATCAAATCTCACCTATGTTTGCGGCAAAGATCCCAGAGGTGACATACACTCTGATTGGTTTACAAGACGTTTGCATAGGACAAACAAATGGTGATTTGCTCTCAAGGGACAAACAAATATCTAAATATCAGGTTGTTTCATCTACTAATTTGTTTTAATATCAAACCATCTTTCATAAGGGTCCAATTGGCATCAAGTTCTTTTTCAGCCTGAAGGTAATACCTTCCATCAGTCCACATCAGTGCTTTGTTTTCAGTAACAATAGCAGTTCCTAAAATCAGATAATATGTGTGATAGGTATAGGAAAGAATTATTACAGACATCCAACAAAGACAGTGGGAGGTCCAGGGCCTACCATTTTTTTGCAAAACAATAGAGCTGTTTTTAAAATCTTTTTTTATGGGTGTAGAATTTTCCTTTGGCCTTCCCCCCCCCCCCCTTCCAGCCTGTGTCAGAGTTCATGTGTTATAGCATGAGTAACCTGTTTCACTAACCAGCTTAAATACTGAGAAACAAAGAAGCTTTTCCTGTCCCATCACATGACAAAACTGCTGCAAAATGAGGGATTTCAATGTGATACTGTATTCTCCATTGTGAGTTTATTGATCAAACCTCCTAATTTAATGCGGGATGGTTAGAGAACTAGATTAATTTTTCAATGTAAATTGAAAGTGACAAACCAGTAACAGGCTGAACAACCAGCAACAAACCAAACAACCTTGTAACAAGCAGAAATGGAAGCTGATTGCCAAATTTAAAATAATTCCAGCAGGGAGGTGTGAATAATCCAACTCTCCATGTCCTGTATCCTATGTAAATTACCTTGTGTTATTTTGATAGTTTGTTAGGTTGTGGCCAGTGTGATTTCATTGAAACATTATCTCAGGAAAACAAATTGGACTTTTGGTGTACCAGCCCTTGACTGGCCTATGTGATGTTGATTCGAGGAAAAGAGGAGAGTGACTAGGAAAGTGACAAGGGTATGGGAAAAATCTTTTGGCACCTTAACCCTGTCTTATAAAAACCTTAACCCTGTCGCAGTTATGTCAATGGGTTGTTTGCATGTTTTTGGGTTGTTCCGCTTGTTCCACATTTATAACTGGCAACAAAACATCTGCCTATATAGCATAGTGCACTTTATGACAGACCAATACTTTAAATGCTGTGCAGTCTTATAGAAAATAAATATTTGCCTGTGCTGCCAGTAAAACCACTGATGAATTCTCTTCTCATATGACATGGTGCAATATATTCACTCTGTTAGAATAGAAAATAAACTTAATATAAGAAATTCATGAAGATGCTTTGAATGAAAAGAAGGACCAAATAAATAAATTGTTCATCTATGCTATGGCTTTGATGTGGCTATGATTTTGACCATGGATAAATTGTATTTAAAGAAAATCATGTAACAAGAATAAGCATATATTAAGATATCTTGTGAAGAAGATTACAACCCGAGGTTTCACTTCAATTTTAAATGCTTGAGGCAATAGATATTTTTGGGTTTGTATGAAAGCGTCAAATTCACCTGATGGGAGTCCCCTGATGGTATGATGTATGCACTGATAGCCTCAGAAACATAATTTGTGTTTTTCATGAGCTGCCTCAATCTCTTAAGCAAATGACCAGTCGGCTTTGCCATATCTAGTAAAAACTGAGTTTTTCCTAAAATCCAATAATGAAAATTCATTAATTATCACTGTGTCATTAGGTACAATTACAAAACATGTTTTTCTGGTTAAACGCTTGCAAGAAACTTTCTAAAGGTGGCAGCATAGTATAAACTTCACTTGTCACTTGAAATACTTAAAGAAGTGGTTCAGTCCACCGTACCTGTCAATCTAGGTGAAATACAGGCAGATCTTAAAATTTGTTAAATCATTTAAACAATATACTTGTAAAACGTTGTACTTGGCAAACAGTTAATGGTGAGAAATATCAGGGGTGCAATCCTTAAAAGATAGTGGGGACTTGGCTATAGGTAACTTCAAGAAATCACACCCAGGGCCACACCCATATGGCTACACCCAATTTACTTGCAATTGTGTTAAAGATTATATTTTGTGCATATAAAATAATGTGTTTTTTGTTGATCCAGGAGACTGTTAGAAAGCAAGAAAATCTTTTCATATCCTGGAAAAACCAGGGATCGGCATATATCTGGTCCACACTCTGACCTCCACTTGCTCCTTTACTTGCCATAAAAATATTTGTCTTCTCTGCTTAATAACAATATTCAAGTTTATTTTGCAGCTTCTTGCTACGCTGCAGTGACCGCAGAAAGCCCCCCTTCCCCAGTGATTTTCAAAACTGTACTAAACAATATAAAAAAATTGTTGTTTAGCCCCCAAAAATCTTGCTGTTTGGCCCTTCTAGCGGTCCTCGGTTACATCTCGTTGCTTACTGTGGCAATAATTAGCAATGTCATACCTTTAAGTGGTCTTAACAAAACAGTCCTGTGTCTTGAACCGTGTCTTTTCAGCCAAGCAGCTTTTTTGAATCGATGATATTATAAAACTTTTCACACCACACTATCCACGTTGAATATTTCTCTACCATTTCGACCGGACCTCGGGTTCGATCATTATGGATTTTTGGATTATTTTGTTTCGAATACTGAATGATGATGTCACGGGGATTATATGCAGAGGATGGGTGGGG